TTTAAATCGTTAGTGTATCTTTTCTTCATTCTGCCACTTTTTGTTTCAGGAATGGTTAATTGCCCAAAAAACTCTCCCAAATAATAATAATAATAATAAAAAACTTCCTGCTTATTATTGCCAACGATAGCTAGTTGGCCATTAATTACCCTTACAATAACAAAAAAATATAGTTCTCAGGAAGTCCATTTATTTCTTAAAATTTACTTGAGGGAGAGGAGGTGTCTTGTAGAATTTTTGTATTTCAGGATTATTATTTGCTAAAAATTTAGTATAGTGGGTGAAATTTAGTGCAAGGTTTGATATGTAAAGTTTTTATGAACCAGGAAGGTTTTATACACTAAACCCTTTTGCCAGTGAATCATGGCCTACAAGTGGTGAATGTTAGGGAGTTGACGGAGCTATTGTCGTGTTTTGTCTTATGATGCTTCTGCTTGATCAGGATGAGAATACTGGGAGGTGAGAGATAGCAAACACATGTTACTTGTCACTCCCGCAAATAGTGTTTGATGCTCAGGCATGGTTGACTGAGTTTCTTAAACAATCATGTAATTTTTTTTCATTTGAACTGTGAGGTTAGTCCAAGGTGCTTTTTAGCCTTGATTCAGCATGTGTTTAAAGGCTTGAATATGTTGAACTTTGTTCCAAATGATGGTTGATCAAGTCAGTTGTTTGGCTGTTGAAGCTCATTTGCTGACCTGATAATGCAACTCAAAGCTGAACAACAGCTGATTATATAAGTATACAACCAATCACCCTTCACTCTTAATACCCTCATTTCTATTCAGCCGTTCTAGATCTAGAGAGAGTTGAGAGACCTAAGAACCCTCACCATAGACGTCAGTCTGGCAGTCCCTCACCACTTGCCACCAATAACTTACTCCTGCAACTTACCTTTGTCGCCGGCTTCCGTCACCATCACCGGTGTAAGGTAATTTCTCCCTCTATATAAGTGAGTCTTTTTTCTTCTTCTTCTTCCTCTGAAAATCTAAACACTCACTCTGTCATCTTCTCTCTCTTCAGCTGCTGATCTAGAAGACTAACTTTATCCAGGTATGCTTCTAAACTCTGAGCTTCAAAAACAAATTTTCAATTCCATTTGACGTCAGAAGACTCTCAACCGAGTTTTTTTCTTGCCCTTTTGGCCTTCAGATTCAATTTTAACTAAGAAATTTCTCTTCTAGTAAATGCTAGCGTTCTTTGTTACCGTGTCTGAGCTTTTTTTTCCCCATTAAGCCTTGCACAATGGTTTTTTTTTTTTTTTTTTCATGGGTAAGTGAGTTTTGAACTTGTTCATTTCAATAATGTTCAATTTGATAGATCTATTATGCAAGTTATGGCTCTTTGAATTTAACATACTTTGCAATGATCATTATATTTCATTTTCACGAATGGCTTTGTAGCCCAATGGTACTTCATCACCTTCCAAAGTAGAAGGTAAGTCCCATAGGAGCAAAAGTGGACGTGTGTGTTTATTGTCAATGATTAAAAAAATATATATTCAATTTTCATTTTGTGTTTCTTATACTGTCTTTCACGGTATAAAAATTAATGTTACTGATTGCACATGAAACATTGCAACAACTAAATATGTGAAAAATATGGCAGTAATACTGAAATTGGAAGTCTTTCATGGGCTTCACTTTTTGTTTCTTGCGGTTTGTTTTGAAGTGAGTTGGTTAGAATGATATGAACATACCACTTCTAATAGGGTAAGGTGCAATAAAAACTCCCCTCAACTATTACCAAGTGCAACTAATTCTCTCGAATTACAAATAATCCCTTTCAATTATGATTTTGGTGTAGTTTAACACTGAGTTATAAATATAACATTGGCTAAATGATGTAGGACCAGTGTAATCGGAATAGCCACTACAATATCGACACCTATGCAACCTTATCACATATACTTGCACATTTTTTTTAATCGTCATCTTTTCATTCGCGAATTAGTGGGTCGCTCAAGCCTAGTCATCTAAAACTGTGGGTCACCGGAGTTGATCTTTGAAGTTTCTGGGTCTGTCTGAAACGCAACCTTGAGGTTCGCTGAAGCTTTTCCGATGGATTGAATGTTGATACTCTTAAGGTTTGGTCGCCATCTATATGGAGGTCAGTTGGGTCTTTAATGAAACTCTACTTCGGTTCAAACAACTTCGATTCGGAGCTTGCCGGCTTCAATGGACGCTGCTGCTTGGAGCTCGCCGGAACGGATGGGTCATTGTATTTCTACACGTCTTCATCTTCGGTTGGGCCGGTGATGCTTAGAGCTTCTCACCGGTGGCCATAGAGTTTGAAGCCGGGTATTGGAAAAATCAATATCTGGCATTGTTTTGTTTATTGGAGCTGTTGCAATCTGATATGGGTATGATTGTGGTGTAGGAACAAAACAAACCCAGTACAAATAATTAGAAAGAAAAACTCTGCAACTATGCTGTTTTAAACAAACCTAGTACATACTGTTAGAAAGATTTCAAAAAAATTAAGTTTTTAAGTATTTGATTGGACTGGTATTAGCCCATTTAATCGATCATCAGATTCATCACTATTAGAAGTTGAATCAGTTTTAAAAAAAAATTATAAGCTTTAATGGAGAAGTTGAATCGGTTTTAATACACTATTAGAATATATATATATATAATCAATGAACTGTAACCCAACATCAAATTGAAACTTTGATCCTTTAGATGATATGGAGGTCACTTTCACTCAAATCATGTAGTGTAAAAACACAAGGTTGACGAGTCCATGTAAACCCAGTTCTCAAATTGATCGTATGAAATCAGTAAGCTTTCTTGTTTCCCCCTTAAATTTGTAGTGGTGGCATCACAAGGGAAGAAACTCACTACCATGTTGACTCCTTTAACACCCTGGCAATTTCTTCTGCATTTTCCTTTGATTATATATATGTGTGTGTGTGTGTCTGTGTGTCTGTGTGTCTATATACACAATATATATCCATATAAAGGAGGGTAAAGGGCGTTATGGTCCAATAGTCTTTCAAGGGCGTTATGGTCTTTTACATTTGATAAGGGCTGTATGGTCATTTAAATAAATATGGGGTCTCACATGCCAGACGTGTTAAAAATCCATCGGCCGGTCACCGGATTGGATAAACTGCAACCAAACAGCATAGTTGAGGGAGATTTTTACTGGGATGGAGCTATTGTCGCGTTTTGTTTTATGATGCTTCTGCTTGATCAGGATGAGAATGCTGGGAGGTGAGAGATAGCAAAACACATGTTACTTGTCTGTCACTCCCTTAAATAGTTTTTGATGCTCAGGCATGGTTGATTGAGTTTCTTAAACAATCATGAGCTTTTGCATTGTACTGTGAGGTTAGTCCAAGGTGCTTTTCAGTCTTGATTCAGCTTGTGTTTATAGGCTTGAAAATGTTGAACTTTGTTCCAAATGATGGTTGATCAAGTCACTTGTTTGGCTGTTGAAGCTCATTTGCTGACCTGAGAACGCAACTCAAAGCTGAACAACAGCTGTTTATACAAGTATACAACCAATCCTTGGAAACGGTAAATCAAGGGATGGCAATTTACCCCTCCCCGTGCTGTTTAAACCGGTTTTGGGGGCATGTTTATGAGATTTGGGTGGGGATGGGTTTGAGGGGAAAAAACCCGCGTGGGTTTGGAGTAGGGGCGGGGGAAGGTAACCCTGCCCCATTTAGTTTTTATTTTATTAAATCACCCTCGTCTATATATATATATAAAGGAATAAAAGCCCTAAATCACTCTTAAGACCCTCAATTTTTTTCAGCCGTTCTAGATCTAGAAAGTCAAGACCTAACAACCCTCATGACAGACCTTAGTCTGGCAGTCCATCACCGCTTGCTACCGATAACTGTATCCTGCCACCTACCTTTGTCGACGGCTTCCGTCATCCTCACCGGTGTATGGTAATTTCTCTCTCTCTCTCTATCACTGAGTCTTTTTTTTTTTGTGGTCTTCAGATTCAATTTTATCTAAAAAAATTTCTCTTCCTGTAAATGTTAGCGTTCTTTGTTAGTGTATGTTTGATCCTTCCCCCCCCCCCCCCCCCCCCCCCCCCCCCTCCCATTAAGCTTTGCACATTTTTTTTTCATGGGTAAGTGAGTTTTGAACTTGTTCATTTCTCTATTGTTCAATTTGATAGATCTATTATGCGAGCTATGGCCGTTTGAATTTAACATACTTTGCAATAATCATTATATTTCATTTTCAGTTTGTGTTTATTATCCTTTGTCTTCAAGATATAATGATCAATGTTTACTGATTGCACATGAAACATTTAAACAACTAAATAAGTGAAAGTTATGTCAGCAATACCGAAGTTGGAAATCTTTCATGGAGTTCGCTTTTTGTTTCTTGTGGCTTGTTCTGAAGTGAGTTGTTTAGCATGATATGAGCACACCAGTTCTGTGGAGTACAAAGAATAAAGCCAATAAATGTGCTCAAGGAAACAAAACATTAATCAATCCTTGGATTTTTTTTTGCCACCGAATTCAACCTGGACTTGTTCTTCGATATGCAACCACATCAATGCAATCAGAGTATGTTTTGAGCAGGTTTATTTTAAATGGTTGTCTTTTCATTTGCTTGCCCTTCACAATGCTTGATTCCATCCAGATTGATTCTGAAACTAAATCTTTAATGAGTTTCTGAATGTACTAATGCCTTAATAACAATCATTGTAGCTGAACTTTTTTAGTCCAAATGCTATGATGTTCTATAAGAACTGCATAAAACTTAAAAGAAAGTACTGCATTGGTCGACTTGTCATTTGATCATGTATTGGTTTCAAAAGTAATGACTGTGAAAGACATATATCTTGGAATTTGTTGAATTAACAGTTGGTGATGATTCCAATTTTTTCTTTGGGTAATTGGAGTTTTTATCGAAAGCAACTAAGGGAATTATTGGAGCATATGGTTGTTTAATGATTGCAAGTGATTAAATTGTGTTTGATTGATGTTCTTTAATTTTACCTAACTTATATATCTTTTTTTTTTTCAGCCCTACAACTCATGGAAAGCCTTTGAAGAGAATTTTTTTTCAGTCCTACAACTTGTATACAATTTTTTTCAGCCCTAACAACAAACGGTTCCTAAATACATGTATATTGGTCCAATTCTCAAGAGCATCCATGAAGTGGTCATGATGATGTTATTTATGACTGTTTAAAAGATATGAATTGCAATTATGAAAAAAAAAAAAGAAAAAGAAAAAGAAAAAGATATGAATTGGATTTTTCTTGCAGATTTTTTTTTGAGGAAGAAATTTATGAGATGAATGAATGACCCTACTAAAGAAAACTAAGTTGGAAGCAAACAAAGGTCATTAATGGCAAACGCAATTCCATAATTATAAGTCCTCATTTTCATGATAGATATAGTAGAATGTGGAGGGTGCTATTGAAATGACTGATGGGTATTAGATTCTTGGGATTTTTCCACTACCCATCACAAAAGCACTTCTTCCTCCAATAGAATGATGAATTTGATACCCTATAAGCGGACATTTCTGACACCACACCTACACTGCAGTATATATATATATAGCAATTGCAGGGCAGGAGCTGAATTTGAACTTTTCGTTTAAGTTGGCTAGTGTATATTAAAGGGGGCAAATCAGGTATTTCACTACCATTTTTTCTTTTTAAACTATAGTTGAGAGTTTAAGGGTCGGCTTGCATTGTCACTCAAAAGGTAATTTTCCGCTTTGAGATAATTGAAAATGAGAAACATGAAAACTCATTTATAAAAAGTGATATTTTTCATTTTTAAGGTTGGCTTGGTTTGTAATTTTAAAAATAAAATTTTGTTTTCAGTTTTCTGTACAATTTTGCTTCATTCAGTTTTCATAATATTTTCCGTTCATCGTCTATACACAAATCCATTCATTTTACTGTGAACTATATTAGAGTTATAATGTTAATATCACTTCACTTCACAAATACTGAATATTAAATAGAAGGCTAAGAAATATATAATATTATAATATATTTAACTGATCGAATCAAGTTACAAATTGGATCTAGGGGTCGTAATTGTGTCTTGTTAATTTAAGGGTATATTACTAAATAGCTCAATTCAAACACGACAGGTTTAATAATTGTGTCAGAAACCCTCAATACTAACTCGATTTGTTTATTAAACGGGTTACCTGTGTAACCTGTTTAATGACCTATTTAATAAAATTAAATATTTTATTATTTAAATTATTAATAATATTCGATCAAACATTAAATACTAAAAAAATATAAGTTTCAATTCAACGAAATTACTAATTAATTTCTAATCTATTAAAAAATAAATTATAAGATACAAGTTTTTGGAACTTAAATAGAAATTTATTTATGAGATGTATAGTTAAACGGATTACACGAGTTTAGCTCCTCAACCCAAACAGGACATGATTAACTAAATGGGTTAATCGTGTCAATTCGTTTACGATCCAAACTCGTTTAAGTAAACCCAAATCCATTTAACTCAGGTCGTGTTAAACTTTACCACCCGGATCAGATCGGGTTACCATAGTAGTATTGGAAACCACCTTAAAACTCTATTTGCCTTTGCAGTTTGGAGTCCTTTTGGAGTCCCCGATAAAAAAACATGTTAAGTGTTTGATAATACATTACTATAAGTTTTTTTTGCACTTAAATTACTTTTAAATTTATTTGATAGCAATATTTTTAAAAACACATTTATTGCTAATTTTACAATAATATCCTTTAATAAAATGTTACCATATTTGATAGTAGTAACTTAATAAGGGAAGGAGTGTAATTGCCTCTATAAAAAATAAAAAGGACAAAATTATCTAAACAAAACGAGTGACCTAAAATATTCTAATTTCTACCCAGGATGGAAAATTAGAATTTGGTGACTAAACTTGAACAATATTATGCTAAAATGACCTCAAGGTCAAGAAAATGTGAATAGTCACCAAAATTAAAACTTAAATGCTAACAAGTGAAGGTAGTGAAAAATTACATAAATATCCTTTCAGTAAAATATTTTATAATTGGACAAATCAACTATTTCCTTTTCTTACTAACTTTTTTTTTTTATTTTTTTTAAGTTTACTCCAAAACTCCATTGATTATGGTTTCAGAGACAATAGGCTCACAACTGGCCTGCCTATATTCCATGAGCTAATCAAATTAGATCAAACATCAGGCCCACAACTCTATACTTTGAGTGATCTCCTCTCCCATTTTTCAAATTTTCATAGACACACATATACATGGCTACCAGGTCCTAATAATGGAGGCACTATGATTGTTATTATTATTATTTTTAAATTTTACATAAGCAACAATGATTGTTATCTCTATTACCGAATAGTTATGTTTGAGATTTGCCATAAGATTATTACTTTAAGGAATAACTCAATACCTGTTTATGAGTTATAGCTTCAATTTTTTTATTTTATTTTTTTTCATGAATACTCTCTTTTATAAAAAATAAAAAATAAAAAATAAAAATAAAAAAGTTGTATAAAGATTTGTTAATAAATAACATGATATTTATGCAATTACAATTGGTTTGGAATGGAATTTATTTGTTTTAATCACTATCATAATTTTACATTCCAAATTTCGACTTATCTAGGATGATCTGTTAGATACAATAAGATAAATCAAATGTTATAATTCAAAGCACAAAATTAAATTATGAATTTTTATTATTCACACACAATACAGAAATATGTGTTAGTAGCCCTACGTTACATTGACTCTTCAAAAGTAGTGAAGTATCAATGTTACACACATATAATTCGGACACGAGTATAGGATATGTGCCCAACTCTTTAGGTTGAACATGTACTTAAAAAATATATCTAATCATTCAAGTTTATTATATGATTACTTTAAACGAGTTGAATGTCTAATTTAACACCGTGTTACTAAAAAGAATGCTTTTAGTCTTTCCTCTTATCTTCTTCCCACCCCTCTTCCTACCTTTCTACCAAAAGGAGTATAGATGTCAGCTATGTGGTTTACCAATTGTTCTATATTTGGTTCTATAAAAAAATTATGTATACCATATAGTTCCCTAACTTTGATATATACCAAGAGTCATTTCATGAGACTACATCCATAGCAAATATGAGTCATACATCAGACATAGAGGTTCGGGATCATTACTCAAGGGTAAAGAAAAACAAAATAGAGAGTATTAGCTCTTAACAAACCTATTCACAGAGAATATTTTCTTTGATCCTCATATAATTAAAAATTTTCATTATCATCACCTTTCTTCTTTTCTCAGCCAGTGTTAGCATCTAAAGCAATCATTTATCATCAACTTTCGTCATTACATTACAGAATGTTGGCATCTAAAGCAATTTCAACAATCATTTCTCACGTTGGTTTTACTAGTGTGTAAAGATTCAAATAAAAATGCAATGGAAATTACCACGACAACAAGTGCCAAACAAAAATGAATTGGAAATAAATATCTTGTACACAACAAATGTTGCAAGTAGGACACTACATGTAATCTGTAACCAACACATTAAACAACCAAGATGACTACATATAAATATGCTTAAGGAAATATTCTCAAGCATGCAAAAAGAATGTTTGAGATGGTGGCATGAGAACTAGTGTTGGTTTAACATAAATGTTAGCATTGAGGTAAATAACCGCACCAGCAACCTCTATCATACATATAAGTAGACATGCATGGAAACTTTATAAAAGATAATGGCTTCTTCAACAGAACTGCAATAACAAAATCAAAATTTGTTGAAACTATGGAGATGTAAACTTTCTATATCCATTTGAATTTAATAAATTAAGGGGAGCCATAATCTTAGCATCTTACCGCATATGTAATGTGCACTAGTTTCATCCAAATAAGTGAACAATACAAGTTGTAGACATAGTCAAGCTCAAATTAAACATGAAAATCCACCCCTGATCCTAGCACTACACAAAAGTTGGAGGGTTAAGTCAATCCAAGCACTTACCAAAAGTTGAGCTGAGCTGAATAGATCGAAGAAGTAAACCATCTTAATTTATATGACAAAGCAAGCACAAAAGCATGTATCGGGTAGGTCAGTAGGATCAGTATGAAAAGTTGCTGAACGCTGCTCTAAGATGGCATTGGCAGAGGGATCCACTCGAAATACAATTATAGTTGCTTGAAGGCGGGGAGCGGGAGGATGGCCGCACCAACTACGATAATGATCAGACCCTGTCCGCACCATGCAGAACATCAAATCCCCCAAATAAAGGAGATCATTCCTTAAGTAATAAAGAGGAAGGGGATGACGATAATTGAAGTACAGGAGGGGCAATTCCCCAATTTTGAACACCTCCTCCACGTTGGAGTCAACATGATAACCGCACAGGTAATCATCACAATAGTAAAACCACATAGAAATGTCATGAGCAAACACACGAGGTTGTAGGAAGGAGAAATTGAGCGATGATTCGGTTATGATTCTCCAGATTTTCTTCGGGATGTTATAGTAAAACACGACATTGGTGTTGATCAAGAGACCAAACCCGTCCAATACAGTTGCATGACATTTAACCCAAACAAACGGTTTCAAAATGAAGCAGGAGGGAGCACCAATAAATGTCCAACCTGAGTCGTCATCATCCGGGTAGAAAACCTCTAAATCATGACCACACAAATCTCGGCTGAGAACAAAAACCCTGTCATCAAAGGGCTTCAAAGGCTGAATGACGATGGGTCCGTACTTTGGAGTATGCATATGTTGATTTGTAACTCCCAAACAACCAGAAACAGTATCATATATGACGACCCTACTAGACTGTGCCTTTCTACTAATGGAACCAAGCATGTAAATTCTGGATCCGAAAGAGAAAAAAGCCATACCACGGGGGAATTCTCTTCCCAAAATGAGCGCCGGCTCTCGCAGCATGAAAGAAGTAGTACTAGTTTTGTTTTGTTTTTTTTTTGTTTTTTTTTTCGGTAATTAAAGAAGAAGTACTATTTGGGTTGCTGAAGATGGTATCCATCTCTATGCGGTAGACGACGTAACGATACTCTGATGTGTCAACACTAACAACCATGTAGAAAGCCGTCTCTTCTCCCTTCTTAATAAACATTCTTCTTTGCGTGCGTGATAAACAAGGACAAAATCAATTTGTTAGAATTGAATCACGCACAGAATAGAGGGGAGATTGATTACAAATGAACATTAGCGCAAACATAAATTTCATATATATAAATATATATACAGTGTGTATGTGTGTGTGGATAGAGAGAGGTAAACAGAGAAAGAGAACCTTCCACGATTGGAATGAGAAAAGCGTGCTGCGCTGCGATTGTGTAGGCAATTTGATGGAGAGAACTGGGAAACCAGAGATGGCCGACAACTCCAAACCCTAGACGCGGATAAACCGAATATCTATATATATTTATATATTACTCCGTATATTTTATATTATTTATATCCTTATAAAAGTGTTTTGAAAAAGCGACTTTTTCCTTTGAATTAAACCGGTTACCCTATATTTATTTCTCTGTGTCATTATTAAATTGGGTCAAGTGCAGAGAATACTTAAAATATCTTTAAAGTTTTAATTTGGTATTAATAAATTCTTCATAAATTACCTATAATATATATACAGTATATATTATATCTGTAAAAAATTAAATAGATTCTTCATAAATTACCTATAATATATTTACAGTATATATTATATCTGTAAAAAATATCTTTAAAGTTTTAGTTTGGTATAAGTAGATTCTTCATAAATTACCTATAGTGAACATTTTATAAGGCATATAAAAATAAATAATTTGGTAAAATGACCTTCCTAAAAAAATAATAATAATAATAATTTGGTAAAATGACACTATTGGGTGATGACCCTCTCATGCAAAAAAACACCCCTAAAGTTTCGCTATGATGTAAATAGGTATTTCTGACAAATTTAAATACTAAGTTGACTAAATTACCCTTATTCAATCCTTTTATAAAATATAAAAAAATAAATAATTTAATAAAATGACCGAAAATGACGGAGAACGCCGCCGGCAATGGACAAGTAAAGATAAAAATAACAGTATAAAAGAAAAATAAAGATAAAAATAGAAAATAAAAAACAAAAATATAGTGCAAACTAAAGAAAATAATTTTTTTTTCAAACTCTAAAAACCAGTGCACACTAATATTGAGAATTTTTTATTTTTTTTAACAATGTTTGTACGAAAAAAAATATTAGTAGAAAAAAGAGTAAACTAGAATCTTAAAAAATTCAAATCTTTGTTTTACAAATTCTCAAAGTTTTTTTTAAAAAAAAAATGTTAGAGATATATATATAGAAAAAAAATTCAAAAAAAAAAAAATACAAAGTAATGCGTACTTACACCCTTATACTATGAGATTAGTAATATATACCCTTGAACATTTTCGAAATAGTAAAAGGGCAAAATGGGCATTACATTATGTCAGAGAGGGTATTTTTGCATACTGTGAAAAGATTAGGGGTGTTGTTTGCATATTTTTTCAAATAAAGGGTAAAAGTGTAACGTGAAGTATAATTTAGGAGTATTTTATGCACTTGTCCCTATTAAATTAACAATAAGAAACGCAAAAACTCTTTCAATTTTATTTGATTAAATCACGTCACAGTTAAAAAGAAGGAAAATTATATAATTGACAACTTTAAAACACCCCGACAAAAACTGACTCACATAAAAAAATTGATGTTAGTTATTCAAAAATTTTAACTCAAAACACAATTCTTTTCATAATGTGACCATCTTAAAATCTTTCTAACTCGAACACGATTCTTTCTGTAACCTCATTATAGCGGTATAAGGTTCTTACTTCCCAAAGGGAGGTTAGGGGTTCAAACCTCGGTAGAGGCTGTGTATGTGAGTATCAACTACGACAAAAAAAATAAATAAATAAATAAAAATGCTTCTATAAGAATTCTATAAAAATAAAAAAATAATTAAAAAAAAATTATTTAATTAATTAATTAATTTCTACAAAATATAAGAATTTTCATTTGAAGTTTTGAATATCAACAAAAATTGATGATTCGAAAACCTAAATTCTTATTCTATTGATTTGTTTGCCCTTTCGTTCATAGTTATTGTTTTGTTAAATTTTCAAATTCAATTGTTAATTTCTTTTAGAGTTTTTTCTTTTCATTAACTAAAGAGAGTTATTTTTGTTACTTTATTTTTGGAGAGTTTTTGTTTTGAAATGCATCTTATATTTTAATTTTAAATGACCTACATTTACTCTATCACATGAAGTCTCGGTTTTGTATTTGTCGGGCTAAATAGCACGACTCTAAAAAGAAAGAATCATCTCTTAACTAAAAGGAGAAAAAAGGGAAAGAAAGAAAAAAAGAAAAAAACCATGTTCTTCCTCTTTCCTCTTAGTACTAACCATAAACAAACAACTCTTTCTCTTCCCATTACAAAATTTCTAAATTGTAATGCATAACATAATATAGATAATATATTGTATTTGTTTTGTTAAAATCAATAGTTAACGAGTTTTGATTGTTAGAGTGATTTGATATATTCAAATAATATAATTCTAGGAATTTGTACTTTGTAAATTTAGATTTATGGAACAAGTAATTTTTGGTTTGTGATTATTTTCTTTTACTCTCTCCTCCAATTTTAGAGAATTTTTAGTTTCTGTTTGTGAGGGGAAAGAGGAAGCACCATTTTGTTTTTTTTTTTTACTCTTCTGTTATACTATGTAAGAGATGACTTTTCTTTTTTAACTGTAACGTATCCTAGCCAAAGTCAGATTCGGGGAGTTTTCTCATTTTCTATCTGGCGCCTATATTAACAATTACACAAGTTAACATCCTTTTTAAACATAAACACTATCTGTCGTTGACAGGCAAACACAGCCTTAAATAATGTGAAATATCTAGTTTGTCCTTGAATAAAATATTTATTTTTCAATATAAAATATTTACTATTTTAAATGATAAAAGAGTCCTTATAAGAATATTAACCACATTCACCTTATTACTTGGTAACCAAAAGTAATGTAATCTAATGATACTTCTTCGCCTTTCCGTAATGATTCGAACCCTGGTCATAATGGTTCAACGACAACTCCAACTCACGAGGACACTGTCAACAATAAATCCTACTCTATGGTATTATTATATCGGTTAATTTCATTGACACACCCTCAGGTTTGACCATTTTTCACTCTTAAACATCTTTCAAAAATAACTATCACTTAGGTCCATTCTCACTTTTCTATCACAATCTTTGTTAAAAATATGTAAAAAGATAATTTTGCCCTCTAATTTTTTTTAAAAGAAAAATTTTACCCTTAAAAGACAATCTTGCAAAATTCTTTTGTGATCAATGCTAAAAGAGAGGAGGGTCATTTCGCCGAAGACGATGACAGCGATATAGAATCCGGATTAGGGTTTGAGTCCGGACCCGAATTTGGCTTTTGAGAGATTCCAAAATATTTGGATGGTTAGGGTGGTGTCGGTGGTGAGATTGAGCGTTTTGGAGCCCTGTTTGGTCTATAAAAAGAAGGGTTTGGTTTGGAGGTGGAAAAAAAAGGTGGAGAAAGAAAGAAGATAGAGGTTTTGGTGGACGGCAGTTAGAGAGACAACAGAGCTGTGGTGAAGCTGAGGCGATGCACTGGCGCAACAGGGCTGAACTTCTTGACGGCATGGCAATAACTTACCAACTAAGGATGATAGTGGCTGGCACTTAAATGTTCAGTAGTGGAAGAAGACAATCATGGGGAGGAGGTCGTCGGACAGTGGTGGTTTGGTGGGAAGGAAGAAGACGAACTAGATATTGCAGGTGGATCCTGCCTAAACCACGTTGCTTCCAGACCAAAATGCCTTCGTTGATTCACTATTTGTGCAGTTATGGGGGTGAGGGTAAGGGTGGGTTTTGTGGTGGTGGTTATGGGGGTGGGGGTGAGAATGGTGGTGCTGTGGTGGCCGCCGGTGTTGGTGTTCGACCGGTGTGTGATGCTTGTTGTATGACGGCGTCGTGTGCTGTGTTTATAATACACACACACACAGAACACGTGTATGTGATATTTCCCAATTTTCGAACACGGATTGATCAAGTTCGCATCTGAAAACTAGGAGATATTAAAATAATTTATAATAAACGAGTACATAATATAAGGGAATAAGAATAAATAAATAATAATCGCTGAAAGAAAAACTAAATAATAAATACTAAATCCTTCCATAACAAAACCTCCAAATAAATCCAATAAAAAATGAATCTCCATAACGTAGCCCTCCAAAAACAACCATAAATAAAATATTACAAAGTACAGCTCGAGAATAAGAATATCATGGACCCCTAAATAAAATCTCATAACTGAAATAAATAATAAAATCCAAATAATGAAGTATAAACAATAAATGAAGTCTAAGATACAGTCCTACATCGACAATCCGAAAAAGTGAATATGGAAGCTCTTTGATCAGTACGAACGAACTCTAAGTCTAAAATTGTCGTGAACTAGAAAAATAGATAGTCAGTCAGACCCACCGTAATACCCCTATATGTTAAAGGTTTATTTTATTTAAGTTGTTTACATTATTTGATTATTTGTTTTATTTGATTTAAATTGCTTATTTTTATTATGATTATTTGTTTGTTTAATTGTCTAATTAAATTGTTATGGTTGATTAATATAAATGATTTCTATATTTTACGTGTGTGCTTAATTTCTTAATGTGAGTTTAATTGCTATATTTATTTAATTATTTATTTTATTTTAATGTAGTATGGATTGAACTTAGAGTTAGTAAAATTCAAAATTGATAGGTTTGGGCCCGATGGAAAGGCCAAGGTGTGTTGAGAAGGCTTTGGGCCCGTGGGGTGATGTAGGTGTGTTTAGGGTATATATATTATTAAAATATTATTTTAGTTAAATTAAATTATCTTAAATGTATGTATGTGTGTGTATATATATACTATCTCCGTCCCTTATTAGTTGTTCATCTTTGATTTTATAACTTTTTAAAATTATCAAATTGTCCTTTTTAATTTAAATATATATAGTAACAAAGTTTGAATTTTTTTAAAAAGATAAAGGAGAATGATAGAAATATAAAGAAAAAATGTTTTGACTTTTTAAAGAGGACAACTAATTTGGGACATATAAAAAAAGAAAAATGGAGGGACGGAAGGAGTATATATATATTTATATATTCATTATTATAGATATATATTAGGATATTATTATTATTATTAGAGTAAATTGCACTCACACCTCTAAAGTTTGGGTCAATGCCACTAGAGAGGTCAGCGCAGAATTTTACATTGACTTCTTAAATTTCAAAGTCATATTTACCCTAAACTTGTTAACCCACCAAAATAACCCTAATCAATATTTTGTGTTCCCCTCTCACCCACCACCGCAACACCCATACACCGCCCTA